CAATTTTTAGCGTAAAGATTTTAGAAAAAAGTATCGTCTTATAGTCGGAAAAATACGGTACATCTTGCAAGCCTGAATCTTGCTCATCCTTGCTGTAGAAATACGCATTGCTGAATATTACACTACATATATGGAAGAGAAGATGAAATGAATCAGAGAATTCAGAAACTGATAAAGTGCTGAATTCAATCAGGTAACAAGACAGCAGCACCACTGAATTTTAAATGGATATTATAACATTTCTTCTTTATGTCTCTTTCAGATTTTTGCACCAAATGAAAGGCTAAGACCAAAATCAGCAGCAACTAGATGAATACATCAGTCTTATATAGAGTAGCTCAATAAATAAAGTCGGTGAATGCTCTTTGAATTTCTACCCCAAAATCCACTTTAAAAAATGTTCTTTAGATTGCAGCAAAAGTCAGTTCCATTTTTAGATTTTTTTTTAATTTAACTTTTTTAAAAATACAAAATGGGATTTAGAATGAATAAGAATTCTTGTCTTAGTTATCATCCGTGGACCATTTTGTCTTGGGAGAACCCAAAATACAGCTTCTAATGTAAACTCAGAAGCTACATCCAAAAAAGAAAAGGAATACACACAAGTTCAAACTTCCCCTCCAGTTAGAGTTCCTTTGAGAAAAAAAATGGATTGTGTTAATTTATGTGTCTAGGCTTGTTTCTGCTAGGTTAAATTGCCTTCTAGCCAGTTAAGGAACTATTTAAGGAGAAATAATTTATGTCTTGCTGTGAATGCTGAACTTGGGTAATTGTGGGTTAAGGCTGAAAATACCAATTTCCTTCATAAACCAAAACCATAAAATTCCCCAAGCATAAGCAACCCATATTTGGCTTGCAGTAGTCTGGAGGACCAGTAGATGGCAGTGAAGACATACAGAAAATGTCAATCTTTGCTGCCATTTGTTGGTCATCTGGATTTTTGCAGTCGAGATATGTTTGCCTACCAGGCCTCTATCCCACCTTAACCCACAATACCGTAATAAAGCATAAATAGAGGGTAAAAATGGCAACTTACACTGCAATTCTGTGTTGTTCCATTGAGTTCAGGTTCCCACTATGTGTGTGTAATATTGCAGCCTTAATAGTATAGTTGTTCTTGTTTTTTAAATGTAGAACAATCCTTAGACTGAATTTTTTGTGCTCAGATTACTTTTTCTGAATGTATTTTCTTTGTATGTCCAAATGTAACAAATTATGGTCATGGACCTAAACTAGGATAAAACATTAAGTCCCAAAATTATTGAGTATTATACATCTTCGTAATTCTATATCTAAAACAGTTGACATCTCTCTGATATATTTATCTATCTGTCTAGCTAGCTAGCTATGCTAGTTAGCAATCTAAATTATACTTCAGGTGGCAAGCCTTGAACCCTGCCAAAGTCTTGAATACCAGTAGTAACCCTTTGAGTCTTTACTGCCATAGTTTGCTTTCTGTAGTGGAAGATATCCTTGGCCAGGATGTTCCTCCCACTCATTTCAGTGAACAATAACATACAGATGCAACACGTACCACCTTCTGTCATGAAAAGCAATCTGCTTCTATTTTTAAGATGCAACAGTTATTTAGACTATTAAAAGCTTATTTCTACAAGATATGCCCACTTTTGAAATGAAAGAAAGCTTGGAGAAAATGTGATATGGAAAATAATTTATAAAAAGAAACTCACCTTCTACCATGTAGATAGTAACTGAATATAACCATAAAATGATAATCCCATTCAACAATGAGGATAATTAGGATGAAATATATAGGTGGATCTCTTGCTGCTTAAAAGAACAAAAAATATTTGCTACATCTTATTGAAGCCCCCGTTGACTAAAAGAGGCTGCAACTAATGCAGAAGTATTTGGAACAAAGTGACTCAAAAGAACAATTTCTTTGGCTGCCCTGCAAAAATCACTTGGAGGGGTGCTAGTGCCAAAATTTGCAAAGCAGAGTACAGGAAATACTTAGGAAGTTTACAGATATTCCCCCCAGGAACAATGGAAGCAGAAGTCTCATATGCTTTAATCCATCTTGTTTAGGGTGGATTTGAAGGCCATTTTTTTCTCATAGTGCTACGCTGAAGTATAACAAGCAAAGAGTCAGTTGTCTGAAATTGTCTGGTATGCTTAAGATAAATCTTTAGAGCATGCTTGACATCAAACATGTGCCCTTTCTCCACAGACTTAAGGGGATGCAGACAAAAAGTGAATTAAGACAGCTTTTATAATCTGTGGAATAATGTGAAGGCAGAATCGAAACATAATATTACAGAACTTGTATGGGAAATATACAGTTACCTACAGCCAACAAATTTCCTGTCTTAGAGTTCCTGCAAGCTGATGATTTAACCATCAAAAATAAAATGAACTGTTATAAAGGACAACACTACAAAAAAATAGAAAACAAAAAGTTGGTGAGTTAATGCTTACCTTCTGTTTCACATGAAGGCAAGAATAAAACTGGGAGCAGGGAAAATATAGGATGGGAAGAGGGAAATGGTGTCACAGATAACAGGATGTCAGTGGTTTTAGTGGTGCAATGAAGCAAATTAAGTAAATATTTGAATGTTGATATAAGGACATGTGTAATGTCATCATGGTTTCTAGTTGAAGCTATAAAATATCAGACTCAAAATTTATTTTATTGGAAGTCTAGAAATGTCTTTAAAAGCCATGTTAAAGGAAAAGAGGAAGGTATTCACAAATCTAATATTCTATCCTGCCGTATTTTAATATCAAACAATGATTTCCTATCACATCTTGTAATTGTAACATTAACGCATGCATCATTATCAGAAAAAAACTTGCTTTCCTTCTGACTGATTTTGATTATTTGCCATGAAGTTGGTGTTGACTCTTAGTGGCAAATAGGCACCTGAATTGGGCAGCAGCAATGTAGGAAGATGCTGGAGGCAAATGATCACTTTAGTGACAATGGAAAAGGCTCTCCATCTACTCCATCCATAAAGACAGAAGGAGAATCCAGAGGTTTTGGGCTCTGCTTTTATCTGAATGAAATATTAACCTTAACATACAATCTCATAAAATATCAATGGGATTGATTTTGATTTACCATGGCTAAGATTGTGTCCAAACTCTAGTTAAAAGCTGTGGAGGATTAAAATCAGAGAAGAAAGTTTCCAATCACCCTGCAGCCTTACTATGCACTTAAAAACTGTCTAACTGCAAACCACGATCTTAAAACAAGCAGCTTAGTTGCTTCATCTCACTTTCTTAGCAGTGTTGTCATTGCCAGAGACCAAGCTGCAAAAAGGAGCAATTTTAACTATGCCCTGGAGAAAAAGCGGGAAGGCACAAAGCATTGAGAACCAAGATATGAATGGAAAATGTAGTTTTGTGCAAATTAAAACAATGAGGTAATAAGTAATTTTTGAATGCAGCAACAATTATATTATGCTATACATGGCAAAGTGATGTAATATGCACAATTTATTGCTGTCACCTTTGTAATGTCTCATTCCTGCTTTGCTTTAGTAGGTTTATAGATTATGTGGGATAAAAATATAATTTCAAACCTAAAGAGTTTTTGAACAAATGACTTCATACTTGGAATGTCTAACTGGAAATGGAATGGTCCCAGTCCTCAGAATCAATTATACGTATGATATAACTCATCTTCCATTACACTGTCCAAAGAATTAAATAACGATCCATAATGAATTACACAGATGTAAATTTCACTGGGGTCAGTGGGACTAACTTGATAATAACGTAGTATTATAATAAGGTATGAAAATCAAGACAATAGCAGTACTTTCTATTGTATGCAAACATACCTAAATTAGCCCTAGAGTATACTTTTTGGCTTACTGGGTCTTTATATTAAAGCATACTGAGCACTCTTGTCCCACCTTTGCTCTGTTGGCATATAATAGAATATAATAGAAGAAATGGATCTGATGTTCTCATCCCAAACCAACCAAAACCTCATTGTATCGTGTGTAAAAATCGTACCAAACAAAAATGGCTGAATAATTTTAAAAGCTCCTGCTAATAAATATTTTCTGCTGACCCATATTCTTCTCTGTTAATTCAAACTGATGGAAATACATGGCCACAATGTTTGCAACTCTCACACCATATGGCATGTTGAACTTTTAAGAGAGATTTAAATACACACACATACACACACAGAAGTGTTGCAGGGCATCCACCCAGAAACATAAAGCCTTTAATTTTAAAAAAAATTCAACAATTCCATATGCATTTAAATTATTTTATCTATATCTAGAATCCTTAGTAAAATTTATATTATTTCAGATGGGTCATTTAAAGTTATCTTTTCTCTAATGAAATCAGCAGCCATTTTGAACAGTGAGATGCAGATACTTGAAATTGCCCAGCTGTCAAGCCAAGAATCGTATCAGTGTTATTATAGATCTGCAGTTATTATAGCAGTTGTTAAACTCCTCCACACAACTAACATATACAGCAATGGCACACTTTGAGGTTCCTACCCTTCGAAAGTTCAAA